AAGTTTTTTTTGGTGTCGGTCGGTGTCGGTCGTTTTAGAACTTAATATAATAAGAAAGATATGAGGGAAATTGAATATCGCCATAACTTTGTGAAAAAAATTATCGTAAAAAAATAAAAAATTGCAAAAAATTGCAAAAAATTTTTTTTGCAAAAAATCGCGCAAAAAAAATTAGGCATTTTTTTTTGAATAGACATGTATGTAAGGCATGTGATTTCAAATTTTGAAGGAAAACTGTAAATAATTTCAAAAAGAAAACGAAAAAGTTGTTTTTGGTGTCGGTCGGTGTCGGTCGTTTTAGAACTTAATATAATAAGAAAGATATGAGGGAAATTGAATATCGCCATAACTTTGTGAAAAAAATTTTTTTTTAGCTGAGATTTAAAATAGTGACGTATTTTCTGTGTTATTATCGTAAAAAAATAAAAAATTGCAAACAATTTTTTTTGCAAAAAATTGCGCAAAAAAAAATTAGGCATTTTTTTTTGAATAGACATGTATGTAAGGCATGTGATTTCAAATTTTGAAGGAAAACTGTAAATAATTTCAAAAAGAAAACGAAAAAGTTGTTTTTGGTGTCGGTCGGTGTCGGTCGTTTTAGAACTTAATATAATAAGAAAGATATGAGGGAAATTGAATATCGCCATAACTTTGTGAAAAATTTTTTTTTTAGCTGAGATTTAAAATAGTGACGTATTTTCTGTGTTATTATCGTAAAAAAATAAAAAATTGCAATAAATTTTTTTTGCAAAAAATTGCGCAAAAAAAAATTAGGCATTTTTTTTGAATAGACATGTATGTAAGGCATGTGATTTCAAATTTTGAAGGAAAACTGTAAATAATTTCAAAAAGAAAACGAAAAAGTTGTTTTTGGTGTCGGTCGGTGTCGGTCGTTTTAGAACTTAATATAATAAGAAAGATATGAGGGAAATTGAATATCGCCATAACTTTGTGAAAAAAATTTTTTTTTAGCTGAGATTTAAAATAGTGACGTATTTTCGGTGTTATTATCGTAAAAAAATAAAAAATTGCAAAAAATTGCAAAAAATCTTTTTTGCAAAAAATTGCGCAAAAAAAAATTAGGCATTTTTTTTGAATAGACATGTATGTAAGGCATGTGATTTCAAATTTTGAAGGAAAACTGTAAATAATTTCAAAAAGAAAACGAAAAAGTTTTTTTTGGTGTCGGTCGGTGTCGGTCGTTTTAGAACTTAATATAATAAGAAAGATATGAGGGAAATTGAATATCGCCATAACTTTGTGAAAAAAATTTTTTTTTAGCTGAGATTTAAAATAGTGACGTATTTTCTGTGTTATTATCGTAAAAAAATAAAAAATTGCAAAAAATTGCAAAAAATTTTTTTTGCAAAAAATCGCGCAAAAAAAAATTAGGCATTTTTTTTTGAATAGACATGTATGTAAGGCATGTGATTTCAAATTTTGAAGGAAAACTGTAAATAATTTCAAAAAGAAAACGAAAAAGTTGTTTTTGGTGTCGGTCGGTGTCGGTCGTTTTAGAACTTAATATAATAAGAAAGATATGAGGGAAATTGAATATCGCCATAACTTTGTGAAAAAAATTTTTTTTTAGCTGAGATTTAAAATAGTGACGTATTTTCTGTGTTATTATCGTAAAAAAATAAAAAATTGCAAAAAATTTTTTTTGCAAAAAATTGCGCAAAAAAAAATTAGGCATTTTTTTTGAATAGACATGTATGTAAGGCATGTGATTTCAAATTTTGAAGGAAAACTGTAAATAATTTCAAAAAGAAAACGAAAAAGTTTTTTTTGGTGTCGGTCGGTGTCGGTCGTTTTAGAACTTAATATAATAAGAAAGATATGAGGGAAATTGAATATCGCCATAACTTTGTGAAAAAAATTATCGTAAAAAAATAAAAAATTGCAAAAAATTGCAAAAAATTTTTTTTGCAAAAAATCGCGCAAAAAAAATTAGGCATTTTTTTTTGAATAGACATGTATGTAAGGCATGTGATTTCAAATTTTGAAGGAAAACTGTAAATAATTTCAAAAAGAAAACGAAAAAGTTGTTTTTGGTGTCGGTCGGTGTCGGTCGTTTTAGAACTTAATATAATAAGAAAGATATGAGGGAAATTGAATATCGCCATAACTTTGTGAAAAAAATTTTTTTTTAGCTGAGATTTAAAATAGTGACGTATTTTCTGTGTTATTATCGTAAAAAAATAAAAAATTGCAAAAAATTGCAAAAAATCGCGCAAAAAAAAATTAGGCATTTTTTTTTGAATAGAAATGTATGTAAGGCATGTGATTTCAAATTTTGAAGGAAAACTGTAAATAATTTCAAAAAGAAAACGAAAAAGTTGTTTTTGGTGTCGGTCGGTGTCGGTCGTTTAAGAACTTAATATAATAAGAAAGATATGAGGGAAATTGAATATCGCCATAACTTTGTGAAAAAAATTTTTTTTTAGCTGAGATTTAAAATAGTGACGTATTTTCTGTGTTATTATCGTAAAAAAATAAAAAATTGCAAAAAATTGCAAAAAATTTTTTTTGCAAAAAATCGCGCAAAAAAAAATTAGGCATTTTTTTTTGAATAGACATGTATGTAAGGCATGTGATTTCAAATTTTGAAGGAAAACTGTAAATAATTTCAAAAAGAAAACGAAAAAGTTGTTTTTGGTGTCGGTCGGTGTCGGTCGTTTTAGAACTTAATATAATAAGAAAGATATGAGGGAAATTGAATATCGCCATAACTTTGTGAAAAAAATTTTTTTTTAGCTGAGATTTAAAATAGTGACGTATTTTCTGTGTTATTATCGTAAAAAAATAAAAAATTGCAAAAAATTGCAAAAAATTTTTTTTGCAAAAAATCGCGCAAAAAAAAATTAGGCATTTTTTTTTGAATAGACATGTATGTAAGGCATGTGATTTCAAATTTTGAAGGAAAACTGTAAATAATTTCAAAAAGAAAACGAAAAAGTTGTTTTTGGTGTCGGTCGGTGTCGGTCGTTTTAGAACTTAATATAATAAGAAAGATATGAGGGAAATTGAATATCGCCACAACTTTGTGAAAAAAATTTTTTTTTAGCTGAGATTTAAAATAGTGACGTATTTTCTGTGTTAATTATCGTAAAAAAATAAAAAATTGCAAAAAATTGCAAAAAAATTTTTTTGCAAAAAATCGCGCAAAAAAAAATTAGGCATTTTTTTTTGAATAGACATGTATGTAAGGCATGTGATTTCAAATTTTGAAGGAAAACTGTAAATAATTTCAAAAAGAAAACGAAAAAGTTGTTTTTGGTGTCGGTCGGTGTCGGTCGTTTAAGAACTTAATATAATAAGAAAGATATGAGGGAAATTGAATATCGCCATAACTTTGTGAAAAAAATTTTTTTTTAGCTGAGATTTAAAATAGTGACGTATTTTCTGTGTTATTATCGTAAAAAAATAAAAAATTGCAAAAAATTGCAAAAAATTTTTTTTGCAAAAAATCGCGCAAAAAAAAATTAGGCATTTTTTTTTGAATAGACATGTATGTAAGGCATGTGATTTCAAATTTTGAAGGAAAACTGTAAATAATTTCAAAAAGAAAACGAAAAAGTTGTTTTTGGTGTCGGTCGGTGTCGGTCGTTTTAGAACTTAATATAATAAGAAAGATATGAGGGAAATTGAATATCGCCATAACTTTGTGAAAAAAATTTTTTTTTAGCTGAGATTTAAAATAGTGACGTATTTTCTGTGTTATTATCGTAAAAAAATAAAAAATTGCAAAAAATTGCAAAAAATTTTTTTTGCAAAAAATCGCGCAAAAAAAAATTAGGCATTTTTTTTTGAATAGACATGTATGTAAGGCATGTGATTTCAAATTTTGAAGGAAAACTGTAAATAATTTCAAAAAGAAAACGAAAAAGTTGTTTTTGGTGTCGGTCGGTGTCGGTCGTTTTAGAACTTAATATAATAAGAAAGATATGAGGGAAATTGAATATCGCCACAACTTTGTGAAAAAAATTTTTTTTTAGCTGAGATTTAAAATAGTGACGTATTTTCTGTGTTAATTATCGTAAAAAAATAAAAAATTGCAAAAAATTGCAAAAAAATTTTTTTGCAAAAAATCGCGCAAAAAAAAATTAGGCATTTTTTTTTGAATAGACATGTATGTAAGGCATGTGATTTCAAATTTTGAAGGAAAACTGTAAATAATTTCAAAAAGAAAACGAAAAAGTTGTTTTTGGTGTCGGTCGGTGTCGGTCGTTTTAGAACTTAATATAATAAGAAAGATATGAGGGAAATTGAATATCGCCATAACTTTGTGAAAAAAATTTTTTTTTAGCTGAGATTTAAAATAGTGACGTATTTTCTGTGTTATTATCGTAAAAAAATAAAAAATTGCAAAAAATTTTTTTTGCAAAAAATCGCGCAAAAAAAATTAGGCATTTTTTTTTGAATAGACATGTATGTAAGGCATGTGATTTCAAATTTTGAAGGAAAACTGTAAATAATTTCAAAAAGAAAACGAAAAAGTTGTTTTTGGTGTCGGTCGGTGTCGGTCGTTTTAGAACTTAATATAATAAGAAAGATAAAAGCAAAGCTCATGATAAGTGTACCTAAAATTTTTTTTTTTTTTAACGTCTGAAATATTCTGACCCATAAGAAGCTGAGAAACGGACACTAATATCACTTTCCGAATTTAGCGTTTTGATGGACATTTCTACGTGCCTTGAATTAAATTAAAACACTATGAATAAGAGAATTTGAATGAAAACACTCGCATAAAATGTTTAACTTGAAAAAAAAAGTTGAAAATTTTTAAATAAAACAGAAAAAAATTCATTCTTTAAATAATAAATGTATTGTAAAATACATTTGCTACATTCTGCCGATAACTTGAACCGTATGACACAAATTGATAACGTAAATGAGATGTAACGTTAAAAAAGATATATTACATCACCTCAGATAAAAGAACATCTAAGTGAAGACCAAAGAAACACAAGAGAAAGTAGTTTCAGTGCGTCAGTGAACGAAGTAAGATATAAACTTGTACGAAGAAAGTAAATATACTCACTATTCAAGTATACAAGACACTATAAAAATGTTTTTGATATTGTTGTATACTTTATACTCAATTCTTCTACAACTTGAAGCTAAAAGAATTTTGGCAATATTCCCACTCAATGAAAAGAGTCACAACAATGTATTGGATGCATTGGCAATAGGTTTGGCAAAACGAGGTCATCAAATTGATGTTATAACTCACTTCGAGAAGAAAAATCCACCAGTTAATTATAAAACAATTATTAATCTAAACGGTACAAGAGATGATTTTGTGAATAACCTAACAATCGAATATTGTACCAAACAAACCGATGATTCTATACCATTTTATGCTTTTACTGCCGGCAATGAAATTTGTAATCTAATGTCACTTAAAAGTATGCAAAAAGTGATTCAAAATCCAAAGGTGTATGATCTTGTTATCACAGAGGTAATAATAAAAATTTATTTATATTTTTTATCAAAATTACAACAAACAAAAAAAATATTAGGTATTTGGAGCGAATTGTTACATTGGATTTGGATATATTTTTAAAATACCTGTAGTAACTGTTGCAACTAATTTGGGATTATCGTGGACTGGAGATGGTGTAGGAAGTCCAACGGCAACAGCAACTTTTGCCGATGTATTAATGGATAAATATGAAATTTTAACATTTTGGGATCGTTTAAAAAATACAATGATTTCTCAAATAAGTAAGTATAGATTTTTTTCATATACAGAAAAAGCGCAAACAGAAGCAATAAGAAAATATTTAAATCCAAATATACCAAATATAAGAGAAATTGAGAAAATAGTAGCTCTAACTTTTGTCAATTCTTATCATAATCCATTTGGAATTAGAGCTTTAACTCCAGGAATGATTGAAATTGGAGGATTACATATAGAAGGAAACAATGAAAAATTATCACCGGTAAAAAGTTAAGTTATAATAACAAAAATTCAAAAAATACAAATTAAAAAAAAATTTTATGTATACACTATAGGATTTGGAACGATGGATGAATGAAAGTACTCACGGTGTCATTTATTTCTCACTAGGATCTATGGTACTAATAGAAACATTACAAGAAAATTCTCTTTTATCAATTTATCAAGTTTTTTCAAAAATTTCGCCAATGAGAGTTTTAATGAAAATCGTAGACAAGAAAAAACTTCCTTCAGGAATTCCGAAAAATATACGAATACCTTCTTGGATCCCTCAGATACCAGTATTAAGTATGTGATAATAAAACTTTCTTTTATTAAAGAAGATTATAATTTAATCGTAAATTAACTCTCAATTTTTTTTTTGCAGAACATAGAAATACAAAATTGTTCATAACTCATGGCGGTATGTTAGGAATACAAGAAGCACTGTACTACCAAATTCCTGTAATAGGAATACCATTATACGGAGATCAATTTAGAAATATTGCAACTTTGACAAGTAAAAACGTTGCTGTTGAAATAAATTACAAAAACATAACAAGAGAATCTTTAACTGAAGCACTGACAACTATTCTTAACGACACAAAATATAAGTAATTAAAAATATTTTTAAAACCAGAAAATTTTGAAAGAAAACTTAGCCAAGTTGTTAAAGAATATTAAAGTAATTTTTACTATTTTCTAGAGAGGCTGTAATTTATGAATCTAAACTATTTCGCGATCGACCAATGAAGGCAATGGACACAGCCATATTTTGGGTGGAATACGTCATGAGAAATGGAGCAACAACATTAAGATCACCAGCCGTAAACATGCATTGGTGGCAAGCAGAACTATTAGACGTATACGGTTTCATTTCATTATGCTGTATTATAACAACTTATTCATTAATATTTCTACTAAAAAAAATTATTCAAATAACTTTTAAACTTGTGAGAAATACAAAAGAAGATGATAAGAAATACAATTAAAAAATAAAGAAACAATAATAATAAAACGAAATTTTTAAAAAGAAGCCCATCATTCATATATGTGATTGTTTGACAAGAGAAAAAGTTAATGAATTATAAAAAAAAAAAAAAATTAAAAGCAATTTTTTTAAATACACAGAGATACATCGTTCTTGGGGGGCCAATACAAGAGTTAAGATTTCGCTTGATCATTTCGATCGCGCGGGGTTCGCCTTTATGTGCATATTATGTATTTATTATGGTGGACTACCAAGAACTGGCATGGCAAAACCGTAGTAGCCGTTCCTTCTTGTCGACTATTCAAGTCGGTTGTCTGCCAACGTTCGTCGAGTCCTTTAGCTCATTAATTGACACCGCGATACTTGCCGCCGATCCTGGTGGTCCCCTTACGATCGACGATATACATATACAATATATATATATATATATATATATATATATACTACTCTCTTAAAACCTTTCCCTCGATTTTGATCCTCCCTTCTCTCTCACAGTTCTGATACTCCTTTTACCCTCCTTCCTTTCTCTTTCCTCAACAAGCACCAAATAAGAAATCCCGAGGGTTCGATTATGCGAATGAACGAGCATATGATTTGATTCCATTCTAAGACTGGTTCGAAGAGTCTCGTTTTTTTCTGTCGAGCGTGTTAATGCAATGCTGCTAAACGACCAAAAGAAGTGACACAGTTAACATTCCCCGTTTCTCAATGATCATCATTTTTCGCAATCAATCTCATTGATTCAAAAATTTCTTCATAAAACAAATTTAAATTAACAAATTTTAAATTAGAATCTTACAATTTTTTCACAAGTTATATAATTAATCAACAAGAATAGATCAGAAATTTATTTCCCATATTTAATCGAAAGCTATTTAACCCAACTATAAGCAATAAAATTACGTTAATTACTTTTATCCATTAGAGATAAATATATTTTAATAATCTCTTATCATCAATATTCTGACGATTTTCATTGAAAAATTAATGTATATTATAATTTAAAAATTATGCAAATATTGATATTTTTTGCTGAAAATAATAACAGACTGTCAATAAAATGATAAGTGATAAGACACTAAAATTAAGGAATTCTTTTTTATATAAACTGTGTGGAATTTTTATAATTTTGTGTTTACATAAAGTGACATATTTTTAACTTTTCTCACCAATATATATTGTGAAGTAATGATTAATTAAAAAGGTAATATGAATTTAAAGATAAGAAAATGATAAAAATTTAAAAAAAATGTGAAATAAAAGAAGATTAAGAGAAAAATGAGATTCAATATAATTATATCAGAAAATAAAGTAAAATGAACATTTTTGTCACTAATTATAAATTGAAGTACTTAAAACCAGTTATGAGTTATTAATATATACCAATTATTTGCATATCTATAATCTCTATCGCAAATATCAGAAATAGCAATTGAAATTTACTGTTGCCGCCTTTCTTGAAGTCGTACAAACTCGATCATTGTCATAATCATCATAAATCATAAAATAACACCTTCCGACAGCTGATCTATTTTCGTATTTTCGCTTCTATACGCGCGACACATAAATCAACAAAACCAATTAATACTTAAAAGAAAAATCACAATAAATTATCCAATGCATGTCATAAAATATATGGTAAACTGGAATGTATAAAAAATGAAATGAGAAAAAAAAATGCTTCTCATGTGTTCGCATATTAAATCACGCAAACTCTCGACAGAATTTATAGTAACATATAAAGATTGAATTTATTAAATTAATTGCGTCAAGAATCTAATAATTTCTCTTCGAAAATTATAGAATAAATTTTTATCATTCCGTTTTATTTATTTTCCTTTTAGAATTTTTTTTTGAATTCAATTTAATTTTAACATGTTTATTCTTCAATTTAAAATTTTTTTTTCATTTGCGTTAGTCAAATCAGGGTTCAATTCCCCCCGTCCTGGAAAAAAAACTTAATTCTGGGAAATAATAATTTTAAAAAAATTTTTGTCAAATAGAAAATAATTTTTTAATCTTTTGGAGTTTGTGTATACATTATGTCAGGAAGATAAAATTACTTCTGTGCATTTAAGAGGAATCAACAATGTGCCGCTTTGGTGATCTGTACCGTCCATCAGAGACAGAGAAGATTATATATTTTTATTTGTAAAGATACATTCTACAACGATGTTTTTACGTTCGTGGGGGGGGATATAGGGGACCACACAGCACACACCGTCCAAGATGAAGCTGTTCGACTCTTCCTTCCTTTAAGTTTAGATGATCCTTAGAGCATCTTCATCTCTTTTACACAATTCTCACGCACACCTTGCCTGGAATTGAGACCACTATATAGAAAGAAGAAGCTAAGCCACCCACAGATTCGAGCCAACTTTTATTCAGGCAAAATTCTCAAAAACACAATTCTCCAGAAGGACATTTAGTCAATAGTTGTAACAAAAAAACAATGATACTCAAGATTGAAATTCACAAATTAGAAAAAAAAATTCTATCTTCTATACATCAAAAGGTATTTTAAAAGAAAAGAAAATCTTTCCTATTAGGTGACGAAATTAACATCGAGAAATTTACAAAATAATTCTGTTATTCTTCTTTTAGAGACAACAAGTGCGAGTTACACTCGCACTTGTCCGATTTTATTTTATAAAAAATATTTTACTAAAAAAATATAAGAAACATAATTTTATTTCAACTCGCAATATTTTTATTGTATTTACATTTTGCGTTTCAATTGAATTTAAATCATTTAAATTACTTAAATGAGTTAAAGAAATTTACTGCTTTCTCCGCGAGGAACCCAAATTTTTATAAAATGAACATTAAAGAACCCCCTATTTTATTTTAGAGTTATAACCGACTGAAGAAATAAACTTAAGCAAAAAGTTTACTGTTTCCACTTCTTATCATGTTTATTAAATTATTTCTATAATCTACATATAAAAATACGTGAAAATAGTACATTTGAAGCCCTTTAGATAAAATTTTTTCCGTTTTTGGGAGAAAATTCATGATTTTTTCAAAAATTATTAGTTTTTTCTTAACAGCTTCAGAAAAATTAACTCCAATCATCCTCGCTATATTATTTTTGTAATCTACACTTAAAAATACGTTAAAATATATAAATTTAAATCCCTTTAAATAAAATTTTGTTCGTTTTTGGTGGAAAAATACATTTTTTTCCTAAAATTGTCATTTTTTCTTGAAAAACTTGATAAAAAGTAAATCATCAACTCTAATCATGACCGCTTTTTTCCCCTGTATTTTTCCCGTAAAAATACATTTGCATACTAAATATGAATTGTCTGGGTTGAATATTGTGTGCGCTAGGGAGAATAAATCATTTTTTTCGAAATTTTTTATTTTTTCTTGACAACGCTATGTAAATTGATCTGAATCAAGTTCGCTATATTTTTCCTGTAATTTTCACGTTAAAATACGTAAGTGTGCCAAATTTGAGCTCTTTATGTAAAAAGATGTGGCTGCTAGGGGGGGGGGGGAGGTATATAGTCATTTTTAGGCATTTTTCGTAAAAATTCATGGTTTTTCCTTGACAACGCTATGATAATCAATTCCTATCAGGTTCGCTATATTTTTCCTGTAACCTACACGCGAAAATACATATGTGTACCAAATTTCAGCCCTCCAGATAAATTCATGTGGCCGCTAGGGGAGGGGGTACACGATTTCAAAAAAACCGATGTTAATAGGGTTCCAAACCGAGTACGGAACCCTAAAAATAAACCTAATCAAGTATAATCAGAAAGAAATTAAGGCATAGCAAATCTGCGAGTTTTGAGGTTATATATTATTCCAAATTCATGAATTTTCAACAGATATAAACATAAAAACAACTTCCATAAATAGAAGTAAGAATAATCTAGTTTATTTACCATTTAAATTTCTATCTCTTAACTTTTCCCAGTTGACTTCAATGAGTCAATGCACCTCAAGCTGAGAGAGTGAATATAATTAAAAGACCAGTCCTCGATTTATATATATATATATATATATATATATATATATATTTGATCTCGACTGTAAATGATATTACAAAAGTTGATCTCGACTCCCGATGGACATATGAGATTATCATTTTAACTTTTCCCCATATACTAAGGACTAATTAGATTTCGAGTGTCGATGAGAAGTTGAACGACGATGGAAGTCGAAGTCAGTCAAGTGACTAGAGTCGTGATATGTTTTTGCAAGACGTGGCTGTAATTTACAGTCGGTCATTCAGCCATACAAGGCTACTACCGATCGGTGGCCTTGCAATACATCAAATTAGGCCATATATCATGATTTCTTTACCACACATCATCGATTTATGTGCAAGCGCACAGTATAAATTATTAAATAACCATATATATATATATATATATATATATATAGATATAGAAACAAAGAGTTTGAAAAAAAGTGTTCAATCCTTTTATAATATCAGAAAAGAATACCAAACGAACAAATGTGATACAAACTATTTTTTTTCCCCTAACTCGCAAACAATGTAGATATTGAAGCGATACATATCAAAGGTGAAAATTAAAATGAACACACAATGTATTGGGAAATAACATAAACATGTCAAGTGTTTTATATTATAATTTTAAATATCTGGACTCTTTCACTACAATATGGAAATATTTTCAAAAGAAAATTTTTCATCCAAAAAAACAAAAAATTTTTTATATAAAAATATTGAAGGTCATATTAAAATTCAAGAAAGGTCTCTATAAAAAAAACTGATCATTAAAATTGCGGGAGTTCTGAATAAAACGTGATAAAATCTCAGTTGGATGTATCGATTCGGATGCAAATTAATGCGACTTTTTTTTTTTTGTTCGTCGAAACTTTTGAATTTCCGTTTATAATGATGAAACATTGTGGTTATTATATACTTAGGGTTTTTTTTTTCAATGGCGAATGGAAATTAATATTCATATGTTAATGTGCACGAATTTGCATTATATGACACGGTGTTAACTATATATATATATATATAGATAATTGTACATCCGCT